GCCAAAATTGGCGTTTTTTGCATTTTTCACACACACAAACAAATACTAATGCTAACTTTGGCCAGTGTTTGTGACCAAATGGCTACTAAAAAAGACTGGACATACCCCATTTGCAATACCTTGGGTTGTCTACTATTGCAAATGGTATGCCATTATGGGTGTAAATTTCATTCCCGGGCTACTATACAGTCTCAAAGGCAACGTAACCAATCTGGCAAATTGCAATTTCAAATGTAACGTGCTATATTTGACCCTGTAACTTCCCAAAACGCCATAAAACCTGTACATAGAGGGTACTGTCTTACACGTGAGACTTTACTGAATACAAATATGTGTATTTTATTGCAGTAAAAGCAAACAGTATTATGACATTGACCGTTAAAATGTCATGTAGAACTAAAAAAATAAAAAAATCGTATTTTCTCCCATTTTTTTCATATTAAATTATGTTTCATAGTTAAATATTTGATATTGAATGAAAGCCCTGTTTCCCCTGAATAAAATTATATATAATAAGGGTGGGTGCATTTACTATGAAAGAGGTGTATTACGGTTGGACAGAAATGTAGCGCAAATGCCAGGTTTACATTTTGTTTACAACGTGTACATTTGGCTCCGTCCTTAAGGGGTTAAGGGAAGAATTGAATAAGAGGCATTTGTGAGTTACAGCCCTTATGACAAATAAACTAAAACAGACAACGTATACACAAGGCAATAGAGCAGGAAAAACTCTAGCAAAACTCCTAAGGCAGCAAAGACCGAACGCAAAAATCCCATATCCTCTAAATCACATGGGGAATAGACTATATAACCCGCAGCAGATCAATGACACATTGGCAGATTACTACGACACTTTACAATTTAAAAAAACAGACACCATCCATCTCAAGCAGAAATACTCGTTCCTAAAAGATGCCCAACTACCACAGCCAGACCAATCCCTGTTGGCAGAACTCCTCACACAAAAAGAGAGAGAACTTACGATCAAAACGCTTCCCAAAGGGAAGTCTCCCAGCCCGGATGGTTTTACAAACCTATATTACAAAACCTTCTTGCATCTGCTAACCCCCCAATTAGAGAAACTATATAATCACATACGGACTACGGGCACCATTCCTAAAGAAATGTTACTGGCTCATATAACGACACTGCCAAAACCAGGGAAGCCACCCAATAGGAGCCAAAATCTGCGCCCCATCTCGCTGCTAAATACAGACTTAAAGATACTAGCTAAAATGTATGCCAATAGGCTCGGGAACATCTTACCCAAACTAATAAAAGACGATCAAGTAGGGTTCGTTAGAGGCAGACAAGGCTCCGACGGAAACCCGAAAATTGATCAATCTCCTTCACACGATACAGAAAACCGTGGACCCCAGTGTAGTACTGTCGCTAGATGCAGAAAAAGCATTTGACAGGCTGCACAGGGGCTACCTAAAAAAACAGTACTTCAGAAGCTAGCCTTCCCGGAGTGTTTCATTACATTGGTATCGGCACTCTAGGATAACCCAACTGCAAAAATATCCAATGGGGGTTTCACCTCCAAACCATTTTATATCTCAAACGGGTCTAGGCAGGGTTGCCAGCTATCCCCCTTACTGTATATACTGGCATTAGAACCCGTAGCACAGCACATAAGGAATACACAAGACGTACACGGGATTCTAGCGGGAGGGAGGACACACAAAATTACTCTCTTTGCCGATGACGTCATGCTCACGTTATCTAAACCCGAAATCTCTCTTCCAATGCTCCAAACCATAATAACGAGGTTTAGCAACTGCTCATATTATAAACTAAATACTACCAAGATGCAGGCCATGGGCCTGAATACCACTAAACCCCAACTCCTGCAACTACAAACCACCCATGCATATAACTGGAGAAAAAAAACCCACATAACCTTCTTAGGTATAGACCTCACACCCCAAACAACCCAACTATACAACGCAAACTATATAAAATTATATAACGCTTTCAAGCAACATTTACAAAGCTGGAGGAAGAAATATGTATCATGGATAGGCAGAATAGCTGCCGTCAAAATGATGATACTACCAAGACTTCAATATCTTTTTAGAACACTTCAAATCAGGATACCAAAAACATTCAAAGAATCCCAATACTCGATAAACCAATTCATCTGGGGAGGGAAGAAACCTAGGATAGCGGCCGAAATCATGTATAAACCATTCAAGGAGGGTGGGTTAGGAGCACCAAACATTTCAAGATATTACGCAGTGGCTCTGACGAGCACGCTGGTAACCACCTTTTCATAATATGAATCCACCGACGTGGAGCCATATAGAATCCTCACATGCAGGGGGGCTCTCCTTGACCACATTAGCTTGGTTACCTAAACCCTCTAGACCGAAAACGAATACTATCTGTCCAACAACAGCAGCGACGCTTCAAACATGGGATGAAATCCTTACGAGACATCACCCTGATACATTCTCTCTCTCTCTCTATCTATATATCTATATATATATATATATAT